GTTCAGGAAAAAGTTAACAATTAACATGGTTCTGTGGTTCCCGCATCTGCCCCTATATCATGCAAAAGACCGTTTTCAAAAAGCTTGTCACGCCCTGAAAGACCTTCCTGGTGAGAAGGCGATTTATCGATAAAAAAAACAGCCGGACAAGCAGACAGACACACGGACAGGCAGACTTAGCGCATTATATATATTTCAATTTCACATTTAGAGTAGGAATAGGGTTAAGGTTGAAATCGATTTCGAGTGGAAATTTTCTTGATGTGAATGCAGAACAGCTACAAAAGGTTTAGGAATCGATTACATATCACAAAAAGTAAAGGAGAACAGTAATGTGAAAATGGTGGATATGCTGAAAGACCTCAGAAATCAGCGATTTCAAGGTGTTCAAAGTATCATACAGTACACTTTTATTCACATATGTGTGCTGGAACTATTTGTTCAAGTGAGTTTTCTGGATTTATAATAAGTAATTTACTAAGTATTCGTAATTATTCCTGAGCCGAATGACTTTTCGCAAACAAAAAAAGAACACATTCAGGACGGCATTCTTCCTCGCGAGGGGAAATATTCAGAATTTCTTCGAAAGTACGTGAACATGCTGACTCGATACAATAGACGAATCGAAGCAGCAACCAAGGAAGAAACGTCGAAAAGAGAAGAGAAGAAGGAGAAAGAGGAAAAATCCAAAAACTTGTCTCATCAAGACAAACCCAGTCTTTAGGCTGTTCATCACTGGAAACGATCTAGAATATAAACCAACATAAAATTTGCAAACGGTTATACAATGGAAACTACGTACACCCCCTTTAATTTGTCTTCCCCCACTTAACTTCATTTTGTTTAAGGCGCAGTCAGTACTAATAAAGTATTTGCAAATGGTGCTGTTTTGAGTTTTTTTTCTGTCAGTCAACGGTACAGAAACGATTTCTCAGTACGGTTTCCTTGGTTCTACCGTAAGCGCGTTCGCGGGCACGCAGTGCCACGTGTTATCGAAATGTCTTCGCCGTTTTTTCAAACTTTGCGGAGTGCCATCGCTGTAGAAAGTGGGGTATAGCAATGCAACGGTTCTGTCGCACCGGGGCGCAGCCTCAAGTGAGGACGTGCTCGGCCCGCGAGGCGCCAGGGAAATCGGCGCGCGCAGCCCGGATATCTTAGAGGGCCGGCCTCCGGGTGGTTGCGGACCAGATGCCGCACTAGGAAATATTATAAAGATCGCTCGAGGAAACGACAACGGCTCGTCAAGGATTATCGCCTGTCTAGTCACGCTCTCCGGTGGGGATATTCACTCTCGCCACCCGCGAGCCGTCTGTACTCTCCGCGCGTACATTCACTCTTTACACTATCCTCGCGCAGTGGAGAGCATCAGGCTTGCACAGACTATACTCAGACGACGTTATCCACCCCGCTTCATTAGGACTCGCGCCAAACTAGGCAGCCCACCAGTCAGTTGCCATTTGTGCTAAACTAAAGCCTTTCCCTCGCCATCGGCAACTCGCGCTTCAGCGGATGGGCAGAGCAGAGCGTTCACCTGAATAACGTCAAGATCGTGTTACTCGCAGTACTAAAGTCCGGCAAGAAAATAAAGTACGAGAAAATAAATAAACCTTACGTCATCTATTTTTCCAGTGCATTGTTGCACCACTCAGGCATAAACCACTCAGCGATCGTCGTTGCCCTTAAGCTACTTCCATCAGAACAACCTTTATAATTAGCTGGCAATCGATTTCGATGCTACTGGTCTATGGGGACTATTTCGAAGTTTGAAATGATGTCTGCGGTAGGTCGCCTGATCTTTGACTTTCCAGGCTCTGAAGAAAGCGACAAAGCCGAAACGTTAGACCGAATAAAGTTGCTGTACCATAGCTTGTGGCTCTAGAGGAAAAAAAAGCAAAAAGGCTTAATTCAACTGTTGTTGATTTCTTTTTTTGTCAATAAGCCTTATGTGTGAGATAAAAACGGAAGATAATTTCCGCTCGAATCAATAATGGCCGAATTCTCCTGATTTGCCTCTTCCCGGAATTCGAACTAAGAGGACCAATAGAGAATTTGCGCACTGTCTAATAAGAACACGCGGGTGCTTACCGCTTAATGAAAGATCAGCGTCAGGTAATTTGTCTCTCAATGCCTATCAGTGCCGCTCTGGCAAACAAAACAACAAGCAAAAAACTGAACTATCTGCTAATTTTTTTCAGATGGACGGTGTTAGCCCACTAAGTCATATTCATCCAATGAGTCTAACCAGGAAGGTCTTTCAGGGCGTGACAAGCTTTTTGAAAACGGTCTTTTGCATGATATAGGGGCAGATGCGGGAACCACAGAACCATGTTCAATTTTTCCTGAACGGCCCTCTGAATACCAGAAAAGGAGGTCCCTAGTTCGATTCCTCGTGGTAACAAATTTTTGCATTTCGAGTTGACGTGCCAAAATTCGCGCAAAATGGAGTTAGAACCAACCAGAACAATCAGAACTCCATTTTGCGCGAATTTTGGACGTCAACTCGAAATGCAAAAATTTGTCACCAAGAGGAATCGAACTAGGGACCCCCTTTTCTGGTATTCAGAGGGCCGTTCAGGAAAAATTAAACATGGTTCTGTGGTCCCCGCATCTGCCCCTATATCATGCAAAAGACCGTTTTCAAAAAGCTTCGTCACGCCCTGAAAGACCTTCCTGGTAAGTACAGCTGAAGCCAAATATCATTTCCCGAGCTTTTTTTAACCAGATTAGTCCCCCGTCAACCGCCGGGACCTTCCTTTCCTGCGCAAGCTTTCTATCCTCCGCTATGGTCCCTTCCTCCTGTGACACCAACACCTCCTGGAAGTGACGCGTATGCAACACAATGGTGTTTCATACAGTAGAAGGGACACAATCATGATATGACGGTAGATTTTTCGCTTCCCTTCCTCATCCTCCCTTCCTCTCTCCACTGCCCTCCAGCTGCCACTGCAGCACCATGTGGAATGAACGGAAGTGTGCTAAGCAGGTGTTTATATAGCCCTGAGAGTGTTATCACAACTATCTACAAAACATGATATCTCAAATCCTGTAAGCTACCCGATTTGTTAGCGGTTTGTTTATCCCATGAGCTTCCTTCTCACTCACTTCATTTTGCGGACGGACACACATACATACATACACACTCACACACACACACACACATACAGATACACAAACCGACACACAAAGTTAGCGCTTTATAATAATAGAAGGATATTTTTTGATTTTCCATTATGTTAGTGCCTGAATTCGCCTCGAGGCTTTATTCAAGGGGAGGAGGAATTAGATCACTCACTCACGTTTGAGCTCTTTTTTTTCCTGAAAATCTTCATCATCCAGACTCAAGCTACATATTCTACTGCAGCGAATACAGTATTGAACTCATCCAAACTTACAAAACTGAATCAAGTGATTGTCATGAGAATGAAGCAGCTAGCACTTCGCGCATACTTCTGAAGGTATCCTCAAGCGATTTAGAAGCGCCACAAATTGTTCCGTGATGCCATCGTGTCCTGCGATAGCGTCGAAAAAGCTGGTGAATTTGTGTACACATTGCGGCCTGTAACAATGACATGACGTGTGAAACCATTCAGTTAATTCAAAATTAAAATCGATCCATTCGGCTACAAAATCACGTCACTCTTTCGAAATTTCACGGACGGGCGCCTGCCTAATATTTCCGGGGTCGAACCGTCATAAGCTCTCTTCACCAATTGATTGCTTTATCATCCCACAATGTTTACCTGCACCATTGCGAAAGAGCTTTTTTTCCAATATGTTACGCTCTATAAAAGCGCATAGAGGAGGGCAGATTTGTTCCCAGCACAAAAATGACCTACGCTACAGTAGCTACTATCGTTTTTTTGCTTGCCACCTTGTGTTCAAGCTCAGGTTTGCCGGCATCACAGCGTTTGTGTAAGAGCATCACAGCGTTTGTGTAAGAGCTGAACATTATCAATATGTAACTCCCACTTTCAGTGGAACGGCTACAATCCGTGGGGGCAAGTTCGGTCCGAATTTCAACCCACCTCCTCAAAACCCTGACCAAGTGAGTTGCAGAGTTTGCAAGTAATTCTGAGATATTTTTGAGCAAATTCAATTCATTTTCTGAGGCATCGGATCTGTTCCGAAGACGGGGGAAAACTTCCCTTATCCGTCTCCAGTTTTCATTTTCTATTTTTAGAACACTGGAAATAACAGGTGGAATCCTTTCAGCCCGAATTTTAACCCAATCCCACAGGTGAGCTGCCGTTGACGTTCTCTCAGAATATAGTCAGTACTTTTTGGAAATTTTCTTTTATGAAGCTGCATAGCGGTAAGCAAGTTCTATGTTCAGGGTGGAGTGTTCGATCCCAACTGGGGAAAAAACCTCGAGAACAAGATCAAGCAAGAAGTCGAGAACAGCCTACGCCAACACGGAAAGGGGAATATCAGTGTGTCGAATTCCGGCAGTTCTGCAATAATCGTCAACACAGAGAACGGGAAAACTGTGGTCTCAGTGACGGTCGATGGGAAACGCTTCGTGGCCACGTTCCCAGGAAGCAGTTCGATATCCACCTCCTCACGCTCCTTCTACAACAACGGGCAGCGCGTCCAAGAGAACGTAATCACAGTAAATGGCCAGACTTACATTCTAAGAACAGTTAATGGGCAAACAACTGTCCTCGGTAACGATAATCCATTTCGTGCCACTTCTCGCTAAGTTTGCACAGCTTACGAGAAGTCATCGTAAACGGCCCAGGCCGTAGTACGTCCACCAAAGTTTATAGCACTTTCTTTTACGTTGTGATGTTATCAGAGTGATAACGAAATAAATATTCAACTGCGATATCTACAATGCCATCGCTAGAAGTCGGTTTATCGTAACTATCATTTTTTAGAACATTTTCAAACGGTAATTTTTTGCCGAAGCGGCTCTGCAGAACTGGAATAAGGCTCGTGCTCAAGCTATTAACAGATGCTGATAAAGCTGATTCTGTGAAAAGAACATGAGTAGTCAAATGTGATCACTTAACCGTTTTAATCCATGGCATAAAGGCTATCCTCACTATCCTCTTTTTTTTTTCAAAAGTACTGAACG